ACAATTGGAGATTACACCATGTGTATACTTTATCAATTTATATCTTTCTTCTCTATGTCTGTCTTGCTGTCTCCTTAATAGTGAACTGATGGGAACCTACCTCCCTAGAAGGCAGGATGCTCTGGATATTATTGTTTAAGCATCAATAAGTGACTAGGGCTTCTTGATTAAGGTGAAGGGTAGAATATACACATTAACTTTCTCTATCTCTTAAACTCCCATAAAGCAAAAGTCATGGAATAATAATTATAATAATAAAACCTAACATGACACAGAAAATAAAAAAGAAGAAAGTAGGTCTACACTTTTGGAATCTGAAAGGACCCAAGGAAGCTCAATCTTAAAATAAAAAGTAGTATGATTCATATGAGAGAGAATCCCTTTTGCACACACACGCACTCATGCTCACAGACACACATGCCTATGCATACAGATACCCCAAAAGCTTAGGAAATGGTAATACAAAGTAATTTCTGAAAATGGGAGTGAATTGAAGGTAGGGCTAAAAATGGAAGCATGGGGACACCTGGGTGGTTCAGTCGTTTAAGCATCTGCCTTTGGCTCAGGTCACGATTCCAGGATCCTGGGATCTAGTCTTGCATCTGGTTCCTTGCCCATCAGGGAGCCTGCTTCTCCATCTGCCTGCCGCTCCCTCTGCTTGTGCTGTCTCTCTCTCCCTCTCTCTGACAAATAAATAAATAAAATCTTTAAAAAATTTTAAAAAATGGAAGCATGTTTGAATATTCCTTTAAGAACAATGAGATCCTGCTATCCCTTCCTAACCTCTGTACAGTGAAGTGAATCTCCCTTCTTCTACTCTGGCAGGATATATAAGTTTATTATCCAGAGAAGATAAAACTGAAGGTCTCTAGACTGAAAAGAAAAGTAAGGAGTTGTAATATAACTATAGGCAAAGAAGATCCTTCTATGGGGAATCCACTGATAGCCAGAGCTATTTAGGGAAATGACCCAGCACCCCCATATATAGAGAATCTCAGTCATTGAGCAGTACTCCCTGAGAGTTTATCATCCACTTCCATATGAACTGATCATTAGGAATCAGAAAATATCTTAGGAAAATTAAAGATCAGCAAGAAATCTTAGAAGAAACTGATAGAAGACCTGAGAAGAAGACTTGGACAAACTGTCATTAGTGCCCTCAGGGAGGGAGAACCCCTGATAGACGGTGCTTCAGCTGTGTTCCTTGGTAGGAAGTGATGGGTCTTCACGACTAATATAGAGGCACTCCTGTAGCACATGACCCCCCTTGTAGACCACATTCCAGATCCTGGGTTCTGACACTCCTTATATAGCACACCCCAGTTCCATTCCCAGGGTCTGCAAGCCTCTTTCCTGTCTCTGTCCTTCTGAGTGCCTTCTAACACAGTGTGCTTAGAGGGAAGATTGTGTATGTGAAATGTGGATGGAGTTTGGGTATGTGGTCTGAGTCCACATGTGTAAGCATGGGGTCATTATAGATGAAAAGTCTTCCATACTGCTTCGCGTAATGGATGATTATAGACCATATTTATGCTGAATATTGTATAATTTGACATTGTAAGACACTATAAACAACAGGAGATCCTATAAGCTTTCTGAGAGGGAAAACCCTACAACCACCAAAAAAATGTCATATACAAATGATCAGAATCAGAAAGGCTTCAAACATCTCACTAGTGACACTGAAGTCAAGAAGGGAATGGAGCAGAACCTTCAAAGGTCTAAAAGAAAAAAATTCTAAACTATACTTCTATATGTGAATTATTAATTACGTAAGTGAACAGAATATTTTTTCAGAAATTTACAGTTTCAAAAAGTTGTCTCCCATGAATTCCTTTTCAGAAGCTATGGGATGATGTATTCCTCTAACAAGGGAATAAACAGAGAGAGGAGAACAAATGTGTACTGAGACAAATGAGAAGGCTCTAGAAAAGACAAAGAATATCAAAGTTTCAATGTATGAGTATATTTCAAAGTGATTTTGACAATTGGAGATTGGAGTTCAATGTTGTAATAAGTTTATAGGAAAATAAGGTGTCAACCCCCTACCTCTTTCCAAAACAGGCAGTTTTTAACTGTAGGACAAGAAAAGGCAAGCAATCGGCATATTTATGGCTTAGTTGTGAATCTTAACATCAGAAATAATGACTATTGATTTAACTAAAGTTGTAATAGAAAGCTAAGGGGATTTGTGCTTCCTAGAAGTGGAGATGGGGAGAGGGTGTTGGTTGGTTTGAGAGGTTGATCCTCTTCTTTCACAGTGGGATGTCAGTAGATAATTCTGGAAACTGAAAAATGCCGTAGCAATGTAACCATGGGGTCTGGTGATTTAAGCTGATAATGATATGGAAACTTAGAATGAAAAAAAGCTATCTTTGGAGGGTTTTATCCCTTCAATAGCTATGTCACTCTTTATGTGAATATTTTTTTAAAAATATTAAGATTTAAGGTTTAAAATTTTTTATTTAAGTGTAGCTGACACCCAATGCTACAGTAATTTCAGGTGTACAATATAGTACTTCAGTGTCTCTATATGTTATGCTATGCTTACCATAAGTATAGCTCCCATCTGTCACCATACAGTGTTATTATAATATCATTGACTATATTACCTATGTTGTGCCTTTTATTCCCTTGACTTTTTCATCCCATAACTGGAAGCCTGTATCTCCTACTGCCCTTCAGCCACTTTGACCATCTCTCAATCCCTCTTCCCTTTGGCAGCCATTAGTTCTCTGTAATTTATAAGTCTGATTCTGCTTTTTGTTTATTTGTTTTGTTTTTTAGATTCCACATATGAGTGAAATCATATGGTATTTGTCTTTCTCAGTCTGACTTATTTCACTTAGCCTAATATTCTCTAGGTCCATCCGTATTGTGGCAAAGGGCAAGATATCATTCTTTTTATGACTGCATAATAATCCATTACATTATATATACATATATACCACACTTTTTTTTTTACTCTGTTCATCAATTGACAGACACTTGGGCTGTTTCCCTATCTTGGCTATTAAAAATAATTCAGTAAACATAGGGGTCCAGATATCTTTTTGAATTAATATTTTTTTCCTTTGTGCAAATACCAAGTAGTGGAATTTTAGATCATATTATATTTCTCTTTTTAATTTTTTGAGGAAACTCCATACTGATTTTCACAGTGGCTATGCCAATTTCCTTTTTTTCCCCACATCCTTGCCAGTACTTTTTGCTTCTTAACTTTTTGATTTTAGCCATTTTGACAGGTGTGAGGTGATACCTCATTGTGGTTTTGATTTGCATTTCCCTGATGATGAGTGATGTTGAGCATTTTTTTCATGTGTCTGCAGGCCATCTTTATGTCTTCTTTGGAAAAATATATGTTCAGGTCCTCTACCCATTTTAAAATCAGATTTTTTTTTGGTGTTGAGCTGTAGAAGTTCTTTATATTTTTAAAATATATATGGATATATCATTTGCAAATAATCTTCTCCCATTCAGTAGGTTGCCTTTTTGTTTTATTGATAATTCCTTTGCTATGCAGAACCTTTTTATTTTGATGTAGTCCCAGTAGTTTATTTTTGGTTTTGTTTTCTTTGCTTTAGCAGACATAGCCAGAAAAATGTTCTGACAACCAGTGTCAGAGAAATTATTGCCTGTTCTTTCTTCTAGACTTTTTCTGGTTTTAGGTTTCACATTTAGGTCTTTAATCCTTTTGAGTTTGTTTTTTGTGTATGGTTTTAGAAAATGTTCCAGTTTCATTATTTTGCCTGTAATTGCGCAGTTTTCCTATTGAAGAAACTGTCCTTTTGCCATTGTATATTCTTGCTTTCTTTGTTACAGATTAATTGACCATATAAGCATGGACTTATTTCTGGGCTATTTTGTTTTATTGATATATGTGTTTATTTCCTTTTGTGCCAGTGCCATACTGTTTTGATTACTATAGCTTTTAGTGTATCTTGAAATCTGGAAGTATGATACCTCCAGCTTTTTTCTTCTTTCTCAAGGTTTCTTTGGCTATTTGGGGTCTTTTGTGGTTTCATACAAATTTTAGCATTATTTGTTTTAGTTCTGAAAAATTGCTGATGGTACTTTGATAGGGATTACATTGAATTATAGTTTTCAAACTATAGGTTTTTTACTTCCTTGGTTAAGTTTATCCCTAGGTATTTCATTCTTTTTGGTGCAATTGTGAATGTGATTCTTTTCTTAATTTCTCTTTCTGCTATTTCATTATTAGTGCATAGAAATGCTACTGATTTCTGGGTATTAATTTTGTATCCGCAACTTTACTGAGTTCATGTACTACTAATAGTTTTTTGCTGCATCTCCAAAATTTTGGATCATTGTGTTTTCATTTTCATTTGTCTCCATGTTTTTTGATTTAACCAAGGAGGTAAGAGACTTTTACAATGAAAACTTTAAGACACTGATGAAAGAAATTGAAAATGATGCAATGGAAAGATATTTTATACCCAAGGATTAGAAGAATTAATGTTAAAATGTCCACACTACCCAAAGCAATCTATAGATTCAGTGTAATCCCTTAAAATACCAATAGCATTTGGGGCACCTGGGTGGCTCTTTTGGTTAAGCAACTAACTCTTGATTTCATCTCAGGGTCATGCGATGGAGCTCTGCATTGGGCTCCATGCTGAGCATGGAGACTGCTTAAGTTTCTCTCTCTCTCCCTCTCCCCCTCTTTCCACCCCTCCCCCTCCTCCTCATGCTTACACTCCCCGACCCCTGCAAAATATGTGTATATATGCCAACAGCATTTTTCACAGAACTGGAACAAGTTCACCTAAGTCTCAAAATACTTGCCTTTTCTAATCATAAAGGAAACTCTGTTAAATGAGGATTGATGTGTCATAGAGATAGGGTTTTAATGTAGATATGTGTTTAACTGTTCAAAGATTTTTTTCCCAGTGGATTTTGACAAGGGTTAAGTTGAATATATGATGATATTTTTTAGGTTGAAATGTATTTTCTTTCATTAATTTTAGTTTTATTTTCAGGGTGACCGTGGACTTCCTGGTTTTCCTGGGCTTCATGGAATACCAGGATTAAAGGTTGAAAAAAAATCTAGTCTTTTAATATTCAGTAATGTTGCATTTTATTTTAAATTAAAACTTCTTTATGTTACAAATGTGTTATAAATGTTCAAATGTGAAGTATATTAAAGTAAATGATTGGATTACTATCATAATTTACATAAAGCTTTTTGCAAATTTTCTTTAAAATTTCCAGTCACAAATTTTTTGGTATTTAAACATTGATGAGTAAGTTTTAATATATGGAAATTCTTTTAACTATAAGCCCTGTTATGGTACCAACTATCCTTATTTTTCCTTGTTTTTCTTCAGAAAGCCTCAAAAATAGGGCTTTTATAAACAAAGCTTAAATTATTTCTATTTTATTTTATATTGGCAATTAAACTTTGTTTATAATTGGTGCTGTTTTTTTTTCTTTAAGGTTTAAGGGACATTTTCATATTTCTCTAAAATTCAGTAATTTAATTCCAGTTAGTGAACATACAGTGTCATATTAGTTTCAGGTGTACAATATGATGATTCAACAATTCTCTACCTCATTACTCAGTTCTCATCATAAGTTTACTCTTAATCCCCTTTACCTGTTTCACCCATCCCCCACATCCCCTCTGATAGGCTTTATTTTAAATGAATAAAGTTGTCTTTTTTTTCAACAAAAACTTGAAGCATACTTCAGAATACATGGTTTGAAAAGATATATTTAAAACAAGAGAAATAGAATACACATTTTCTTCAGGTACACACAGAAGGATTCCCTGGTTAAATCACATAAAAATAGACATAAATACTGGAATTAAAATAAAAAATTAAAAACTAACTAAAAATAAAATTCAGTATTTATATTTTGTCTTTTAGGGTGAAATGGGCCCCAAAGGAGATAAAGGATCAACTGGATTTTATGGCAAAAAGGGAAGTATGGATTATAAAACAAAGTATCTGTATGGAACTTTGGATGTCATAGAAGTAGAAAACTTGTGTTTCAGTCCCAGCTCATTGACCATTATAGCAATTAGCTTTGTTCAGCTTTCTCAGGAAATTTATTTAGAATAATGAAAAAATAGAATAATACCTGGTGTGTGGTATTTTGTAAGAATACATCATGTTATTGATCATTCTGAATTTTTAAAGTATTTATAGAGAGAGATTCCTTGGGAGGAAGTAGGAGCTGCTTAACAGCATGTCCATGGAGAATCAGTTACGGGCCTTCTGATTTCCTCACATTTAAAGATGATTATATTTTCTGTATATTATATTTACAATACTCACTGCTTTTTAATTTTGCCAAGATGTGGTTTCTGTTTTTAGATGCTTGAAATCCTGCATTCACCATTGCTTTTTAATGTCTTTGTGTCCACTGGCCTGGTAAAATAATGCTTTGCCAGGAGTTGTAGAGCCAACTCTATCTGTAGTTCCATGAATTCTGTCATGACGTAAAGAGGTTAACTTTTTAACTTAAGTTTGAGTTGGAATTTTTGAAATCATTATTGTATCACCTCTGGGGATGGTGTCTAGAGGCATTCCCAACGGTCCAGCTAACATCACAGGCTATTCTACAATACAGCCTCTAGCAAAACTAGGCTGTCCAGAACCTCTGGTAAAATAATTGTTTACCTTTGTACCAAGAAAAAGTTGGGAAACCACCAAGATCCACATGTGTGTGCCCAAGCCAACTTCAAAGAATTTGTGTTGTGAGACCTAAAGTCTTAGGAATTTGCCTAAAATGAAAAAACATGTCAGCAGGGCACATTGTGGTTCCATGTGTGCTAAATATGCCCATGCCAAGGTCAAGCATGCTTGCTGTATTGAGCAGAAAATCATTGTGGATGTGTTGAAGACACAAGCACAGAGTCAGAAAGCTAAGCAAACAAAAAATGAAGCTTTTTTTGAGTAACAAAAATAAAAATTAAAAATAAAATTATTGCATGGATTGTTTTCCAAGTGTTTGTTTTTAATACAGGGTGCAAAAGGTGAAAAGGGAAATGCTGGATTTCCTGGCCTTCCTGGACGTGTTGTGAGTTTGATAGAAAAAGCTCTTCAGTATTTTACTTTAAATAAAAATTGTACTGTCTTCTTTTAGAAAGAAAAATTAGTGCAAAAAATATATTAAAATACATGTGTTTATTTTTTAGGGAGAACCAGGAAGACATGGAAAGGATGGATTAATGGGTAGTCCTGGTTACAAGGTATTTACATAAAAAAACCAAAATATTTCTGTAACTTGTGAGTGAACATTAGAAAAATGTACTGATACTTGACTTTGTTTACATTACAACATTGGTATAAAATGAGCTGAAAGTTGTTTCACTGTAATTTAAAAATGGTAGTAAATTTCTTTTGAGTCTATTGTGAATTCTTAGGTGTTAGACATAGAATCTCTGGATGTTAGAAGGTTGAACTTCGTTGATAAGCCATTCAGATTGGTTTGTTTGGTGGGTTAGAGGCAGAGGTACCAAGCTCTTATCTACCAATAAGGGAGGTACTTGGGTGGGAGGTAGGGGGACTTCATCCTTAACCTTAACAACTTCTTTTATCAGTTGTGTGATATTAGTATGAGAGAATTAGAGCAAGAGGAACTGCAAAGTGCCTCTCATTCACCACCCCTAAAAAACTCAAGGCACTTGCCCTTACGATGATGGGTTAGCACCATCATATTCTTACATAAAGAAACTTTTTGGTTAATAATCAAATAGAAATGGGCTTTCTATGCTGTAGCTTGTTAAATAAAAGGATATCAATCCTGTGTATATATTTAAGTCGGTCTACCTGGAATGTGCGAACAGCCCACATAATTGTTCTGCTATAAGTTTTTTGAATACCTAAGGAGAGGATTTGTGTAATCCATCAACCAGTGAGGCCACTTGGTCAAGCGTTGGATTTAGAGATGTCATCATGTTCCCTAGTCATCAGGCCAAACTTGCTCAGAAATCCAGTTCAGATTTTCTTGGTCTGCTACTGATTTCTTTTTTGTTGGACAAATTATTCATTTATTTGCTTAAGTATTATGAAAGTTCCCCAAATATCCATGACTCCTTAAATATTATAAATAGTGCTTCCTGAATTTAAAATATTGGGGCTCATTTGCTAACCCTTCATCATAAGAGCTCAGTCATGTGTTAATTATATTTCACTGGTTCTGTATTTTATTTCCCATTTGTTAATTAAACAGATATTTATTAGGTGCTAGACATACCAGAGGGGAAGAAGACCGTCACAACCCTTATTTTTATGGAGTTTGTAATCTAATCTTTCTTTATTAAAGAACACAGATTCTTTTCTTTACCTGCAAATTTAATTCATCTAGTTTAATTTTTCTTTGTCTTCTGCTACCGTTAGCCCATGTGCCCCAAGAAATGAGATTATAGTTTTTGGGGGTACTAAGGTTTAGAGAATAGAACTGAGTTGGATTCCCACCACTTGGTGACTTTTTCTAACCAGCTTTATGTCCTTTGACAAATACTTTGACCTTCCAGTTTTCTCCATTTAAAAAATGGGATAAATGTTACCTACTTAGAATGGTGTGGTAGGGACTGAGAACAATAGAGCACCCAGCATAGTACTTGTCAGAGTATATATTCAATAAGGAATTAGTTTCTTTGTCCATTTTTTGATTAGAACATTGCTTTAAGATCCTTTTTTGAGCTTTTTTTTTAAAAACCCACTTTATTGAGGTATGAGTGACATACAGAAATTACATATTTTATGTGTACAACTTGGTGAGTTTGTACATGAGTATATTCTCGAGAAACCATCACCACAATCAATGCCATAAACATATCTGTCACCTCCAAAACTTTCCTCCCTCTCTATTTTTTTTCGTGATGACAGCATTTAACGTAAGGTCTGCCTTCTTAGCTCATTTTAAAGTTTGCACTACAGCATTAACTGTAGGCACTAAGCTGTACAGTAGATTTCTAGGACTTACTCATTTTACGTAATTGAAACTTTACCCTTTGACCAATACTCCCCTGTTTCTCCCTCTCCCCAGCCCCTGCTAACCACCATTCTACTCTCTGCTTCTGTGAGTTTGACTGTTTTAGATTCCACCTGTAAGTGGGATCATATAGTATTTGTCTTTCTCTGTCTGGTCTATTTCACTTAGCATATGTCTTCTGGGTTCATCCATGTTGTAACAAATGGCAGGATTTCCTTCTTTTTTGAGGATGAAGCATATGTCTCTGTGTGTGTATGTGTCTATATGTCTTATCTGTGTCTATCTAGATATCACATTTTCTTTATTCAACTGTCAACAGACATTTAAGTTGCTTTTATGTTTTGACTATTGTGAGTAATGTTGCAGTGGACATGGCACTACAGGTATGTCTTCGAGATCCTGATTTTCATTCCTTTGGATATACACCCGGAAGGAAGATTGCCACAGCATATAGTAGTTATCTCTTTAATTTTTCGAGGAACCTCTGTAACTGTTTTCCATAGTGACTATATCAATTTACATTCCCACCAACAGTGTACAGGGCTTCTAGTTTTTCCACCTCCTTTCCAAGATTTTTTTTTTTTTTTTTTTGGCTAATAGCCCCAACAGATTTGAGATGATATTCCATTGTGGTTTTGATTTGCATTTCCCCATTGATTGGTGATGTTGAGCTCCTTTTCATATACTTGTTGGTCATTTATGTCTTTTTGCAGAAAAGACTATTCAGTTCCTTTGCCCATTTTTAAATTGGGTTGTTGTTATTATTACTGCTATTGAATTGTAGGAGTTCCTTATATATTTTGGATATTAACCCTTTATCAGATAGATACATGGCTTGCAAATATTTTCTCCTAATCTGTGGGTTGCCTTTTCATTTTGTTGATGGTTTTTTTGTGCAAAAGCCTTTTGGTTTGATGTAGTCCCACTTGTCTAATTTTGCTTTTGTTGCCTACGCTTTTGGTTCCTGGATTGTACGTAGGAATTTTGGGATTCTTTTTTCTATTTATATAAAAAAGCCATTGGGATTTTGATAGGGATTTCATTGAATCTGTAGGTCATTTGTGGTAGTGTGGACATTTTAACAATAAAAAATGTTCCAATCCATGAACTAGGGATTAGGAATGGCTTTTCATTTATTTGTGTCTTAATTTCTTTCATCAGTGTTTTGTAGTTTTTAGTGTATAAGTCTTTCTCCTTTTTGGTTTAGTTTATTTCAAATTATTTTATTATTTTTGATGCTATTATAAATATGGATTGCTTTCTTAATTTCCTTTTTGTATGGTTTGCTGTTAGTGTATAAAAGTGCAATTGACTTTTGTATGTTGATTTTGTATCCTGCAACTTTACTGAATTTATTAGTATTGACAGTTTTTTAATGGAGTCTTTAGGTTTTTCCATACATGAGATCATGTTATCTACAGAGATAATTTTATTTCTTTTACAATTTAGATGTTATTTATTTCTTTTTCTTGCCTTATTTCTCTGGCTAGTATTTCCAGTACTGTGTTGAAAAGAAGTGGCAAGAGTGGGCATCTTTGTCTTGTTCCTGATCTTAAAGGGAAAGCTTTCAGTTTTTTTTTCATTAAATATGTTCACTGTGGGTTTTTCATATATATGTCATCTTTATTGTGTTGAGTTAAATTCCTTCTATACCTAGTTTTTTGAGAGTTTTAATCATGAAATGGTGTTTTGTCAAATGTTTTTTTCTACATTTCTTGAGATGATGTGATTTTTATCTTTTTTTCTGTTAATCTGATGTATCACATTGATTTGCATATACTGCTATCTTTGCATCCCAGGGATAAATCCCACTTGATTATGGTGGATGATCCTTTCAATATGCTGTTGAATTCAGTTTGATATTATTTCTTCAGGACTTCTTCACGTATGTTCATCAAGGATATTGGCCTGTAGTTTTCTTTCCTTGTGGTTTTATTATCATGCTAATACTAACCTCATAAAATGATTTGGGAACTGTTCCCTCTTTAATTTTTTGGAAGATTTTAAGAAGGATTCATATTAATTCTTTAAATGATTAGTGGAATTTATCAGTGAAGTCTGCCTGTCCTGGGACTTTCTTTATTTTGGGAGATTTTTCATCACTGATTCAATCTCCTTATTTGTTATTGGTCTGTTCAGGCTTTCTCTTTCTTCTTAATTCAGTCTTATTAGGTTTTATGTTTCTAGGAATTAATCCATTTCTTCTAGTTTTTCAGTTTGTTGGCATATAATTATTCATAAGAGTCCCTTGTGATCTTTTTTATTTCTGTGGCATCAATTGTAATGTCTCTTCTTTTGTTTCTGATTTTGAGTCTTCCCTTTTTTTTCTTAGTGTAGCTAACTAAGGATCTGTCCATATTTTAGATCTTCTTAAAAAATAAACTCTGGCTTTAATTATTTTTTCTTTTGTTTTTGTATTCTCTGTTTCATTTATTCTTGCTCTAATCTTAATCATTTCCTTCCTCCAGCTAACTTTGGGCTTGGTTCTTTTTTTCTAGTTTTTGCCCTTTTTTGAAAAAAAAAAAAAGATTTTTATTGATTTATTTGAGAGAGCGAGCACATGAGAGGGTGGGAGAGGCAGAGGGAGAAGGGGAAGCAGACGCCCCCCTGATCAGCGAGCCCTACTTGGGGCTCAGTTCCAGGACCCTGGGATCATGACCTGAGCTAAAGGCAGATGCTTAACTGACTGAGCCACCCAGGTGTCCCTGGTTTATTTCCCTTTTTGATATTAATCTGGATAGTGTGTTTGCATGAACATACCTACAAGTGTAAACCTTATTTCACTTTTTAACAGGTTTATTCATAAATAAGCCACACGTTATAGAGGTTACCTATTTAATTTATTGCACACACAATTCAGTGATTTTGAGTATATTTACAGAGTTATTCAGTCATCAGTGCTATCTAATTTTAGAACATTTTCATCACTTCAAAAAGAAATCTTATACCCATTAGCAGTCACTCCCAATTTCCTCCCAGCCACTTATGCTCTATTTTTAGCCCTCTGCAACCTCTAATCTACTTTCTATCTTTGTGGATTTGTCCATTCTGAATATGGAGTTTTAGTTTGCATTTCCATGATGACTGGCAATGTTGATATCTTTTTATGGGCTTGTTGGCCATTGGTGTTATCTTCTTTTGTGAGATGTCTATTCAAAATATTTGACCAATTAAAAAAATTTGGGTTTTTATCTTATTAATGAGTTGTAAGATTTCTTTATGTGTTCTGGCTATAAGTTCTTTATCAGATAC